TAGAAGATAGAGCTAAAAGGCTCCTTTGGATTTGTTTTCAAGACTCTTCATAATGAACCCTTGGTCAGATGGCAGCCCCAGGGGGAGTACCTGAAACCAGGATTAGTGGCTTTTTCTCCCCCTGGAAGTTGGAGCAGTTTCTTGAATTCTGGATGGTGAGGTATGTGGAGGCATCTGTACCTAAAGTCTAGAGCTCAAAGCAATCTTTCCTTGCTAAATTAGCAGGGTTTAGGGAAATGAATACTAGACTTGAGGTTAGAACATTTGAGTTGGATTTTGGACTCCTCTGGGTTCTCTATTCTCTATATAACTAAGTACAACATGAGAGAATGGATAGACAAGTTCAAGTGAAAAAGACCTGCAGAGTTGGGTAGACTGGAAGCTCACTATGGGTCTATAGTGTAACATGGCAGTCAAAAATAAATGAATCTGATCTTCTACTGCTTTAACTGGGTGGGGTAGTGAGTTTCTCCATTATTGGACATCTTTGAATGAAGGCTAGGTGACTATTGTCAGGTATGTTATAGGGAGGGCATTTGGCTAGATGACCTCTGAGGACCTTTCAGCTCCAGATTCTATGATTCTACAGCACAGAGCCCAGGGCAGGACCTTGGGAAACATTTACAATTATGAGGCAAACACGTGTATTTCCCTGTGAAAAAATGCAGGGAATCCAAGCATTAACTCTCATTTGGAATTTTAGCCACCAAACATGTTCAAGGGAAAGGAAATCTTCAATGCAAAGACTATCTTTTAATCACTTATCTCTTCTCCCCAACCCTCTGCTCACTCCAGCCATGTTGTCCCCCCAACCAGAGGTTGCTTTACCTAAAGCACTGGTTCTCAAAGAGTGATCTGGGGACCCCTGTGGGTCCTTGAGACCCTTTCAGTGGGTCTACAATGTCAAAACTCTTTTCGTAATAATATCAAGATGTTTCAATTTCCAACATACTAAATATCAATAGATGTAATCCACGTAAACAAAAGCTGTTGAGGGTTCTCAATACTTTTTAGGAGTGTAAAGGATCTTGAGACAAAAAAGCTTGAGAACTCCTGCATTACAGCAATACTTCATTACAAGCAGCATTTTTTAAGAGACGTGAACTGCTGAAGAATAGGAAGAATATTCAAATATGTTAAACTTATCATTGATTGCTTGACAGCTGTGGCTACATTATTGTTATTTAGTAAATAGAGGTGAGTCTCAAGGATCCAAATATTAGTAAGGACGGGGGTACATCAAAACCTAGATGCTGATATAACCCTGCACCATTCCCTATTTTGTGAGAGGCTAAAGGACCTGGGTTGAAGTCTTGCTTCTGACAAATATTGACCATATGATCCTGAACGAGACATTTAACTTTTTGGTGTTCCAGACAACTAAGGGCAGCTAATTGGTGCAGTGGAGTCAAGAAGAGGTCAAATTTGGCCTCAGACACTTACTAGCCGTGTGACCCTGGGCAAGTCAATTAAGCTTGTTTGCCTTAGTTTCCTCATCTGTAAAATGGGCTGGAGAAGGAAATGGCAAACCACTCCAGTATCTTTGCCAAGAAAATCCCAAATGGGTTCATGAAGAGTCAGGCATGACTGAAAAACAACTGAACAACAAAGGTAACTCAGAACATAAATGGCAGAGAAGCTGTCAACATGCATTAGCAGAGGGAGTTTCCTTACCTGAAGTTACTCCAACAATGAAATCCCAAGTCTGGTCCCTATCCCTTATCCCTACTTAACTTCCTGTTTTAGAATGATCACTACAGCAGTGAAATAAAAGGAGAAAATCGCACCATTAAATAAACAATAAGACCTGCTCCCTCATCTCACAGAGCAAAGAAGATCATAAATCTAGACCTCATAGGCCTCAGCCAACCTCCTCATTATACAAAGGAGAAAACTGAGGCCTAGAAAAATTAAGCGGCTTGCCCAAGGTCATACAGTCAGTCACATAGAATCAGGATTTGAACCCACATCCTCTGACTCCAGAGATACAGACCTTTCCATTAGTTTTGTTCAGGCTTTCATAAAGTCATATTATACATAAATGAAACCAGGAATATTACGTAGGGTATACAGCCAAAGGTATGCTTCTAGTAACTGGTTCATACCATCTCAAGGGCCTCATTCCTAGATGATTTCCTGGACATCTGGAGGCCTGTGGTTAAAAGGGACAATTGTAATATCTCTCTTACTGATTGACATGTAAGGAGTAATTGAGGGTTCAGAATGCAATGAAACTCATCTGATATAATCTCTGGCTACAGGAAACAATAACTTCAGGGTCTGAATCTTTTGGCATTAGGCTAAATATTAATAGCAACATTTTTAAGAAGGCCATAACTATGGGATTAGAGATCAACATACAAGAATCAGATTGTACGTGGGAGGCTGGATACCCAATAGGTGGGTAAGGCATCTTACATTTATATGATACTTTATCATTGGCAAAATGTTTTACATTTGATCTCATTTGATACAGCTACCTTGTGAAGTATATGATAGTATTATCCCCATTTTACAGATAAGGCAACTGAGGCTCAGGAAAGTTAAATAATTTCCCCACATATGAATAGCTGGTAAACAGGGGCAAAATTGGAACACAAGTCTTCCAGACTCCAAGTCCTGTGTTCTATTGAAGTAAGGAATCTCAGGAGGACAATCTAGCAAAAACAGTGAGAGCCATCTTTTCCATGTCAGAACCCCCTAAACTATATAATTTAGAAATGGCTCAAACGGGAGGGGCAGCTTAAGAATTGTTAGGTTTTAGTTTGGTTTGAAAGAAACAATTTGAATGGGAAACACTGAGAAAGCACACTGAAGAAAGAGGTGGACTATAGGTAGTAAGAATATCTGATTTCTAGTTCTGGTTCTGCCAGTGATGAGATTTTTGTCCTTAGTCAAGTCACATAATCTCTCTGGGTCTAAGTTTCCTCATCTAGAAAACAAAGGGACATCTCTAATGTTGCTTCCAAAGTCTACAACTCCCATGTTCGCCATTTTGAAGAACGGGTTAAAAAAAAAAAAGACCTTTATCCCAACTCCAAATGCCAGTTCAAGTGGAAGTAATGGAAAACCAGAGGAGTCCGTAGTTGTGGCAGGAGTAGAGAGAGAGGAAAGGAACTGAATAGAAGGAGTTGAGATGAGGGGAAAAGTTAAACTTCTAGTCAGGTGAACAAGGTCTAAAGTGTTCCACTGTCCCAAAGAAAATCTAACTTTGACTGTATTAAGAACAGGTCACCTGATTCCCCCCATGTTAGGGTATGGATTAGGCTTTAGAATCCTCCAGATTAGACTCTGGGGTTGGGGAACAATTGTTTTCCATTGCCTTTTTGAAGGAATTCGGTACCCAGGCTGATCTTAGAAGATTGGCTCCTCGGATTTGAGCCATGATGTGGACACTCAGAGTACCGTTCCCCACACAAGTATCATTTGGAAAATGCATATGGAAAATTTGCTCTTGATGGTTGGCACTCTGAAGGCAGCCATTCTGTTAGAGACAAGGGTAAGGTTTAGCATGGCAGAACACCTGGGATAGTTCATGATGCCTCAATGGAAATGAACAAAAATAACCAGTAGATGGCAGCAAGACCAGCAAGCTTCTGGAAACTTCATCCATCACAATCTGAAAATTTGTCTTATTTACGCTGTCACTTTAGATAAAGTGAAAGTGCCCTATTACAGTGGCGGCAGATACCTGGGCTCTGAAGAAGTCCAGCGCACTGCTAGAAGCCATTACCCACCTTGAGAGGCTGGGTAGTTGTGCTTCGCTGTTCTTTGGGACCAGAGAGGATGGCTTTGGTTCCACGGATGCAGAAAAGTATGGAGGAAATAAGGTTAGATTTAGAGTCAGACTTGTCTCTGACACCATCTGTGTGGCACTGAGCAGATCACTCCACCTCTCTGATGTCATTTCTTTATTTGTTAAATGAGGTGATCCTTTTTAGCTCTAGATCTGTGTTTGCTCCTCTCCAGCACTCTTGGGAGCCTGGGAAGTCAGAAAGTTCTTAGAACATAAGAACAAACCTTCAGTTTATCTAAGGGAGGTGGAAAGTCTACTGCGAACTGAGTAGAAAGTTAACTATGTATAATACATACATATGCATAACACATTTAAATATGCACACAGAATTACGATGAGCCTTGTGCTATAACTAGGGAGAAAACTAGATGTAGATTAAGAGGATCTAGGGATCTGGGTTTGAACTTCTGTTCTGCTATTTTCTGCTTAGGTCATCTTGGGCACATTAACCTCTCCAGGCCACCTTTTCTTCAATATGTTGGGTTAGACCAGTGTTGCCAAACAGAAGATAGAAATGGGGGCCACTAAAACATCCACAAGGATCCCTGCATACTGCATATTGACTATATCATCTATGTTTTATTGTATTATTATCGTATTAAATATTTTCCCAAAATGTTTTAAGCTAATTCTGGATGTACTTGGAAGTGTTGTGGGTGAGGAGAGTTGTGGGCCACATGCTGCCCATGGGGCCTCATGTTTGACACCTTTGGGTGAGATGACTTTTGGGATCATCTATTTTGTTTTACTGGTGTAGGGGAAAGAACAATGTATTTTGAATTATGGGATGTGGTTTTGAATCCCAGCTCTGCCACTGTGACCTGTGTGATCTTGAGCCACTTAAACTATTTGAGCCTCAGTTTCTTCATCTATAAAAAGAGCAGATTGGACTAGATTCATTCAACAAGCATTTATTTAGCACCTACGATGTGCCAGGCACTGGGCTTAGAGTTACAAAGACAATAATGAAACATTCCCTGCCCTAGAGGAGCTTACATTCTAATAGGGGAAAACAAAGTACACACAGCAAAGCAAATACCAAATATTTACAAAGTCGATACAAAGTAATTTCATGTGGTTGCCGGGTTAGGGAAGGGCACTGGCAACTGGGGTAGGGGAGATAGGAACTGAGGTCAGGCTTCCCATGGGAGCCTTTACCTGAATTGAGCCCTAAAGGAAAAGAAGGATTCTATGAGGTGGAGAGGTTGGGGGGAAAGTGCATTCCAAGCATGGATTACAGGCTATGCAAAGGCACGGGATAGGAGATGGAATGTTAGTGTACGTGTAGATAGGCCAGTTTATTTGGAATGTAAAGTGCATGAAAGAGTAACGTGCAATAATCCTGAAAAGATAGGCTGGGGCCAGAAGGACTTCCAATGACATTTTAAATAGAGGATGTTTTATCCCAGAGGGAAGAGGGAGCCACTGAAGCTTCTTGAAAGTGGGAGTTATACGGCCAGACAGACCTGTGCTTTTAAAATATGAATTTTTGGTAGCCGTGCGGATGATGAATTGAAGAAGGGAGAGGCTGGAAATGGAGAGACCAAAAAGGAGGCTATTGCAACAGTCCAGGCTAGAGGTAATGAGGGCCTGAACTAGGCTGGTGACTGTCTGAGTGGAGAGGAGGCAAAAGCAAGAAATATTGTGGAGGTAGAAACAAGACTGGGCAACTTATAAGGGGAGAGTGAGGAGTCAAGGATGACACTGGACTTTGAAACCTGGTTGACTTGGAAGGATGGATCATGCTCTCAACAACAGGACATTTAGGAAGACTTAGAGATTTTTGGAGAATGATAATGAGTTCTGTTTGGTCCCATTGAGTGTCTCCTAAAGGACATCCAGTTGAGGAAAATGTCCAATAGGCAGTTGGTTGATACAGGGCTGGAGCTCAGGATCTGAGAGTCATTCCTATTGAGATAACAGTTGAACCCATGAACCCTGTTAAGATCGCAGAAGAAAGTGTAGAGAGGAGCATCTGGGACAGAGCTTTGGGGCACACCTATTCCTAGAGCTTGGAACAAGGAAAAGGAAAAGGACCCTGAGAAGTAGCTAGACACAGGAACAGCCAGTTATATCATAAAAACCCAGGGAGGAGTCTTCAGGAAGAGGAGTGGTCAGTGATCTCTTAATCTCCTTCCTTGAGATGTAGCATAGTACCATGGAAAGAGCATTGACTTTGTAGTCAGAATTCCTGGGTCAAATTCTGGCCCTGACACTCACTACCTGTGTAACATTTGGTCTATCAGGCCATCGTTTGGACCTCAGCTTCTCTGTTCAACGTGTATGTGTAGGAAAGTAGGGGGTAGATCAGATGATATCTTTCTGTCAACTCCAAATCTGTGCATGTGTGTGTGCTTGTGCATGCACACACATGCACACCAGCAATGCTTAGAACAATAGCCCTTCTTTCGTGGATGAGTCAATGTGTGAGTGTGTATACACACAATAGCTCTTCTCTCATGGATGAGTCAACTTTTGTGGGTGTCCTCCCGAAATGAAGCTATCCTATTCAAGATCCTCTCCAATAGATAGGGAATTGGCCTTGCAGGGAAAGTGGTTAGGAAAGAATAGCAGGTAATGTCTTTGAGGGAAGTCCAGAAACCATTGGAGATGTAAAGAACTGATCTGGTGAGATATTGAAAGAATTCTCCTTTTAGAGCTTGAAGCAAAAAACTGTAGCCCAGAAGGACCAGCTAATCTTGGGGAAGTGTGTTTGTGTGTATGCATGTTTTAAGGATCAAACTACACCCTTTTCTTCCTTGATAGGCAATCATTTTTTCTTTTCAGGGAAAAAGTTAGGAGACAGAAGAGAAAAGGAGATCACACACAGATAATTTCACAGCCACGAGAGCCTATTATTAGAAACCTTTAAAGTTTTTGAATGAAAGAAAAAGCTTGAATTCCTAGTTAAGGGGGTCTAGAAGTAGCTAACATCATCTCTTCTTATGGAGTGACTGGAGCCTAGTCTAAAAGGTTGATGGAAAGTCTCACGAAGACCATTTAATAAAGAGAGACCAGAGTGAGGCTTGAGCAAAGACTAGAGAGGCAGGATGGCCATTTCCCCTTTCTTCAAGTACTTACCTCAATTCCAGGGCAGGCAGGTCTACCACTCTATGTCTGAGAGCAAAAACAGGAAATTACAAAATGTCCTTCAGGGTAAGCACTGTTTTTGTGCTAGAAATAGCAAGCTCTACCACAGTGGATAGAGAGCTGGCTTGTGGACAGGAGGACCTGGGTTAAAGTCTTGCCTCTGATACAAACTAGCTGCGTCACTCTGGGTAAGTTACCTTCTCTCTCAGGACCCCAAGCCCTATAAATTGCATTGATATAGGGAGTTCCCTATTCCAGTGAAATTACAGCTCTAATCCCTATTTGTTTTTGATTAGGTCATGATTCCACAGAAATCCAGGAGGGCAAAAAGTTATCATGCTGACAGAAATTCAGCAACTGTACCATCAGCCAGCGGTAAGTTTTTCTCTTTCTTTGGACAAAGCCGTAGTATCAAACACAAGGCATGTGTGGGATAATGTGCCCAAACCACACACTCACTCAAAGAGAAGATGGAGACATATGCCACTTCTCTCCAGGACATTGTTTCTAGATGAAATGTGTCCAGATTTTCTTAACTGTTTAGCGTATCAATACAAAGAAAAAAAGCAAGTAGGAACAATTTCTAGAAAACTGGTTAGTTTTCCAGACAGGTTATCAGTTAACCTTTTTCCTCAAGGATCATAGAAAACACCAAACTTGGAAGATGAGAACTGCTTTTTCCTCATTGTCTCAAATGTTCTGTTTTTCCTGTGGAATTCTTAGGAGTAGGTAGCCACTATATCTAATGCCCTCCTCCTTCCCTCATCACAGGACCTAAAACACTACCATTAGGGATTCATTCCTTTGGGGGCTTTTTGATGTTCTAGAGTTCCTTATTAAAAAGCAAATGGCCCAAGAAGACAGCACGTAAAAGAAAGATGAGGGATGCTGAAAAGGAGAGAGTAGGAACCAAAATTCAAGATGTTTATAGGTCCAGTTCTGCCTCTAGAAATGTAGACTTTCAAAATGAGAACAGACCTTGTCCTAGGGCTAAC